AATACACTTAAGGAAATATTTCACCCTGAACTGAGAATTAGGCTTGAGTAAGCACCAATAATGACGAGCACGGACAGGAGAAAAGAAGCCATGTGTAAGGCCTCCTCTGGGACAGGAAATCGTCTTGGGAAGATGAGGCAAGTGTCCAAGATAAACCCATGAATGAAAATGAGAGCTACCACTTGTTCTGTGGACTCTAATTAACTGATTATGTAAATATGTATAACTGAAGATAATGAGCAACCAATTGCCTCTTCCAGATGCCACATCTATAATTCCTCTTCAAACATATACCTCAGCAATTATCTAAGTACAGACTCTACCTTTATCCCAGAATAGCTCTATGGGTCTATGGCATTGGGAGGAGTATTTATCTCTTCCACTGTAGCCTCTGCATTGATCTTTGATTATCTTTACCATGACCTACAGAGTCTATGACAGAGTAAGCAAGATAGAAAACATCTATGGAGGATTGATGTCCTGTGCCCCACTCATGGTCTAAGAAATGGGGATATGCTGAAATGGGTTACAGGCAATACACATAACTATGGAAATAGCAGCAGCCAAACATGCTTGCCATCCAGTAGATGAGTGTTCATCTGTGATAAGAGACACTGAAATGGACTCCTGAGATTGAAAATTGACTTTATAAACTCCTGTAGAGTTGGATTTAAAAAGCAGACTTCTGTGAGCCACTCAGGATTTCATTATGAGACAGGTAATGGGTTTTAGGAATTGGTTGCTTTAACAGCCGTACCTCTTCTTGCAATGACTTCCAAGTCAATGGGTCAAATGTACAGTAACTATCTAGCATCCATGCGATGCCCTGTCCTTCACACGCCTGCCTTCCTCTCACCTGATGTCAATAATGAAAAGTGAAGGGCATCCACTATCCAGGAGCTTTCTGTGAGATTATCCTAGTTCCCTGGGCATGCGTACCAGCCACAAGAAGATTCCGCAGAGCAACCCCCATTCTTCCATATTAGAGCCTCTTAAAATGTACCTGGTCACACTCCTATTATTGATTCCAAATTCCTCCTGAAAAGAAGTTACTCTCAGTGTGTAGTTAGGTAGGTGAGGCAGACAGATTGCAAGAACGGGTTATCTAAAAGCAGGTTTATTTAGGCAGATGGGAAGGGGAGGGAGGAAACCCCACAGTCTCTTCTTACTCATGCTGAAGCAAACGATAGGTGACAGCCCTGTCCAGACCTGTCAGAAAGAGATGTGTTCCTGTGGTTGCAAAGAGATAGCATTTTCTTTCTGTGTGTGCTTTTTCAGAGATGTCCTTCCTCCCTCATTGTAAACAACTCAAGTGTATAATAGGGAAGATACATTTTGCTCCTCACTTGGGTGTGTTTCTTCTTTCCCGGAAGCTAATAGACTCCAGGCTGTGTGAAATAAGTGCACCAACTGACAGACACAAACCAGAGGCATGTAAGTTGGTTTCTTGATTTGAGAAGAAAGAACTTCAGTCTCTCTCTGTGGAAGTTTGAAGGTATTGCCACCAAAAGATACTATCTTCACTGTTACCTGCTCTCAGTACTAATATATATATATACATATATATATACACATATATGTGATGTGTATACATCACATATATGTGTATATAAGTGAGATTATATATATATGTGTATATATATATTCTAGACTGCAGCTCAGTCTGAAATAATGGGCAGTACAAAGTGTAGAACAATTTCTGGAAAAGAGTAAGTCTTCAGTAAATATTTATGATGCATACCATACAGTATAAATAACCTCAATTGTTCTCTTCCTATAATTTCACATAGTAAAGCTGTCCATTTCACTTTGTGTGGGATTTAAGAATGTGAACAGAAAGGAAACATTCTAACTCCATCATTTAAAAGAGATGTTAAATACACAATGAGCAACAGTCCACATAGATTTTCCTCTTGCTGACCAAGATAGTCTGTAGTTGACAACAAATCATGCTGTTCTGATAAAGATGCTCTGCCCAAGTGGAATCATGGATAGATATAGATGGTATGTAGTTTGGCTCACCTCAAAATGATTCATGTTTTGGACACTCAGGCCTCAGTGTGGTGATGTGAGAAGTGATGGTACTCTTAAGATGTAGGAAGTAGTGGGAGATCCTTAGGGTGTACGGGGAGATCCTTATGGCTTAGGGACGCAGTCTTAGGAAGACCTGTAGCTGCTTCTTAGAAAGAACTGTCTTCAAAAGAGAAATACTAAGTGTTGGCTCAGTAGATAAGAGCACTGAGTTCTCTGCTAGATGACCTGTGTTCAATTCCTATGGATGTCATGTCATGGCTACTCACAACCATTTGTAACTCTGGTCCCAAAGAATCTGACACTCTCCTCTACCATCCCTGGGCATCAGACACATATATGATGCATAGACATTCATGCAGATAAATAAAATAGAATAGATATTTATCATGTAGAATAAATAACATGTTACAAAGAGCAGTCCTGACTTCCTATCTTTGGTGTGTCCTCTTGTTCCTACAAATGCTCTGCTTTCAACATGAGGTCTTAGCACAGTTTGCATTGTGTTCTTTGATCTTTAGCCTTTAAACTTAGCTAACTAATTTTCCTCTTTATGGTATCCACCTTGGTTGTGGTGATGATGAGAACCAAATCTTGGAGCAGTTGCTTTAAGTGTAGTACTTGAAATATATAGAGGAAATATAGATACAGGTATTGATGAATGAAAGAATTTGGACAAACAGGTTAGTAAAGCCTAGGATGCTGTATTCAGAGCGTTCCAGAAAAGTGTGGTGGGGGTATGAATGATGATAGGGAAGGGATGGAACATCTTAGAGACTCCTCAAGCGATTGTGACAGAGTAATGATAGAAATATAGTCAGGAAAGGATACATTGTGAGGTGTCAGGTGGATTTTGTATCTGACTGACAACAGATGCATATTACATACTTGGGACTCAAAGGAACTATCAATGATAGGTGACATGTCTGGTTTCTTCTTATAATGGGCAACTCCAACATAGATATGTATCTCTGTATTGGCCTGAGGATTCAGGACTTACATTTTCCAAAGTTAGTAACAATGTACTTCATACTTGGGAATTGTGGGTAGCTGTTGTGACTAAATGTTGCCTGAAGGCCATAGAGCCTTAGTCACTAGACATTGCTACAATATTTATAAAGGTCCAGAATCCACAATTGCTGTCACAATAACTTTCCACTGAGTTTCATATTTTCTTCTTCTACTGTGTTTTCTTCTTCTACCGTGAGGTTTTTTGCTTTGTTTGAGTTCATTCTGGTTACCTCATAATTCTTTCTACCATAAGGAAGGGCTTGGCAGCATTTCAGAGTAAACAAACATCTCAGCAGGCTTTTTAGGACTTGGGCATCATGCAGGCATTTACTCCTAAGCAATTTTCTTCAAACTCCTTGAGATTCACTTACAATTTCTTTTTATGGCATCGTGTGCTTAAAAAAATTTAAAAGCTTGAAAACACTTTTCTCTACAGTCTTTTTAAGGAATAGCTTAGATTAAGTCTTACGTCTGCCATTTAAATTTTGACTTGATTTTAAGTGCTATATTTAAGACTAACACAGTTACATATCATGAAAGTAACTTAATGATGATGGCAATGACTCTGCCCTGATAATGGAAGAAGTGTGGTTTTGAGATTATCACATTTTCCCCTTTACTTAAGTTTTTGAGCTTAAAGAACATCTTTCCAATTATGAAGACTTTTCTGTTTTCTTATAGGAACATCAAATTTGAACAACTCGACATGAACAAGAAAGTAAAGTTTCACATAAAAATTATGTGGGCCATGTGGTTGCTCACAATATAAGTGCATGTGGCTACGGAATACGGAGATTAATAACATACATGGTATTTGAGGTGGCCTCCGACACAAATTAAATGAGTCACATCATTGATGTAATAAAAGGAACATTTAAAGGGAGCACCACAATCCCATACTGAAACGCTGACTTTCTAAGAGAACGAAACTGGGTATAACACAGCCTACAAGGCAACGACTGCGTCTATGGCAAGTGTGATTTTCCTCTGTGTCTCTAAAAGACTCAAAGGCTTTCCATGACCTGAAAAGTCTCCCGACCCAAATCTGGACATTGTGTTATGACACTACAAATCCTGGTTGAAAATGACCTGTTGGTGTTTTCTGTGTAATAAAGCAAGCTGAAGTTGTCCTAGTTGTTTGCTTGTTCCTGGACAAGTGAATTGCCCTTCCCCTCATCTCTGCTGAGGAGTTTCTGTTTGCGGGGGAAGATACTAATGACTACCTTCGAAGCCCTCATAGGTAAGGTGTTTTGGTCCCTCCACCCTTCAATTCTCCATGTAACTGTTGAACTCATATAAAGGGTGTTATCACCAAAGCATGTGAGTAGTTGATGTCAAATCAGTTTTACAATTCAATGAAAAGTCAGGAGTTGGAGTAGTTCAGAACAGTGTGACTGTTCCCCCAAAGGTCTGTGTGTTAAAGGTTTCTTCCCCAGCTTGGCACTCTTGGCAGGTAGTGACAATGTTTGCAGATGGGGGCTATCAGTAACTTAAGGCATGTCCTAGGGGGTAATGAGACCCTTCACTTTCCTTTTTCCTCATTTCACTTCCCAGCTACAGCATGAACAGTTGATTACAGTCTTGGGCTTGAACAAATGTCATCAAATTTAGAAGCACTTTATTGACTGCTACCTTGTTCATTCTTCTGGCAAAACACCCAAGATATAACCTGAAATGTTTTCCACTAAGATACAAGCAACTGTTCATGCAGTCACCTGTGCACATGAATATTCATTGTCGTCCATACATTTCCTGAAACTGTCTCTGGAAAACACACATCATCCATCATCCATACCCTTTAAGGTTCAGCATGTTTCTTGTCTCATGGTTCTAACACTGTTGCAAGGGCAGAAGGAAATGGCCTTTCTTTTCTTTTGGTGTAGTTAATGGACCCTCACAAGCAGGTCTGGGGAGCCTATAACACAGCCTGTAACAAAGTTGATCTTGCTCTAGGAAAATCCTTTTTGATAGTATTTTTATTTAGATAAAATTCCAAAGTAATAGAAAAGTTACAGGAATCATATGTGGAGCTTCCATACTTCTTTTAGTTGGATTTTGTACAGTCCCTCCATCTACTCCAGGTGTACACAGGTGAGAGTGATCATATATCATATACACATGAGAGATACATGTAGTTTCTTCCTACTGCTTGGGCTGGAACTCAGGACCACATACATGCTACGCGGTTGCCCTGCCCCTGAGCTATATCTTCACCCATAGAAGACAGTGTAGATTTCTAACTAATGTGCAAGCTTCTGAGTCAGATTATTACTAACATAGCAACTTCCTAAATACACAGGTGATGGCAATGATGCCCGGCTTGATGCTTCTCATTGCCTGCAATTCCTATTATTTTCCTTGTAATGAATTTTAGTTCCAGAGAGAGAAAGCGAGTGTTTAATGAGACACTACCAGCCTTTTAAGAAAGCCACTGGAGTGTTTTAGTCGTACCAGTGGAAAATTAGAGCTAGGCAAGGGATGACTACTACTCCCAATGCCTGGAGACGAGAGGAGGTAGTAATGGAATTTTAAACTGATTTTCTTTTCAAACCCATGCATAAAGAGTAAGAATGCCTATAGTTCTGTTAATGCTGATTCAAAAACTTGACTGTGCATCTTTCTCTTGCTTTAAAGTTGATCTTGCTTTAAAATCATATCCTTGCCAGGCGGTGGTGGCACACACCTTTAATCCCAGCACTCGGGAGGCAGAAGGCAGAGCTCTGTGAGTTCGAGGCCAGCCTGGTCTACAGAGCAAGTTCCAGGACAGGTTCCAAAACAATACAGAGAAACCCTGACTCGAAAAAACAAACAAAAAATCATATCCTTTTAAACAAATTGAACATGGGGACTTATTTGGGGAGAGAGGAAAACTGACATCACGGGGAAAAAAATCTAAGCTCTGTGGTGACAGTCACTAAATAACAGAGCCCTTGCCTAGCTTGTACAAGCCCAATGTTCAATCCCCAGAATCACATAGACATGCACAATGAGAGGAGAGGAAAAGGGAGGAAAAGGGGGAAAAGGAAATTAGTTCAAACTCCAGAAAGAAGTGTTTAGAAATCCTCACAATGAAACCACAGTAAGGTTTTCTACACTGGTATTAGTGGTTTCTTTAGAAAATGCTATTAATATATATTAAGCAGAATAAAACCTCACAAATGTACACCAAATAATCCAAAACTTGATTCTTAATGCATACACATACAATAAAATGGTCAGCAGAAATACATAAACTATCAAAAGAGATAAAAATAAGTCTCACTTTCTATTGTGAGCTAAAACTATTCCCCTTGGATTTCATGGCTCAACATGGCAGTAGAGGATCATCTGGACACACATGTGTGAGAACACTTTACCGCTGTCCCCTACTGCAGGCTCTCTGCATGCAAACTTGAATCACATGTCATGTTGCCTTAATTAAATTAGGATTTTTATTATATTTTAACTCAGGCTGTAAGTCTTTTTATTCAGAAAATTTTGCTATTAGTATGTCTTACATGGATTAATAAGAAGCAATTTTAATTATTGAGTAAAACAGGCTTTATCACATATAGAATCAAAACAAAAATGTATTTGTTTTATGATATATTGTGCTACAGAGGATATTTTTAATGTGAAACATGAAAATATTCTTTGATAATTGCAGTACTATTTTATACCACATTTTATCTAATGTCTAATTGCTTATTTTCTAAAAAAGAAAAAAGAAAAAGTTAAAGAAATAAAGGAAATATATACACACAGAAAGATGTAAACGAAAAGAAGATGCAGGCCTATGGTGTTACATATGCTGCAGCTAAATGAGGAAATCTAATGAGCCCAGAGTTGAAAGTCCAGAAGATCTTACAGAATTAAACACTGTGATTTCTAGAGATTTTAAAGGCAACACTATTACAAACACACTTGAATAACCACAGTGTTGCACTGGGCACAGGCTGTAGGTGAATCCGTTGCTTTATACAGTTGAACTTGACTACAGTTGCCTGGGATATGTACAATGTGCTGGATTTTGAGTGCAGGTAGTGATTATTCTAGAACAAAACTATGTCCCCAAAAAGTCGCTTTTGAGGTTTGTTTGTTTCTTAAATAGAAGAAGGTTGAAGCGCTAAAATGAAACCTTTTTTTATGTCAGGTTAAGTGGGAGGCAGAGGAGCCGAGGAATTTTAGTCCCAGAAATTTTAACACTGCTTTTCATCTTCTGTAATCCTAAAGTCATTTCTGAGGTTCTGCAAGTCCTCAAAGGAGTCAAACACATAAGCATGTGGGTCACTAGTCTATTCCTGATGCTTTGCCTAAGAAGTTGGCGTTTCCATCTTCCACATCTTTCTGCTGGAACCACGGCTTAGAATTAGGTCCTTGATGATGATAAGCATCCAGGAAATGGCAGATGCCAGGCATGTCACTAGGGAAGTTTGGTGGAAGTTCCTCTCTTGATCTTGGGGTAAACACAAAACCAGGACAGTCTTTGAGTAATCTGAAAAAAATTAAAATAAAATGAAAACTTGATGCAGACAGAAACATTTGGCCATTCAGGACAAGAAGACAACAGAAATAATAAATACTGCTACAGTAGTCATATTAGATATGATTAATAAAAGGATTTCCATAAGGCAAAAAACAGTCCCTCACACACACAAAAAAAATGCTACAAATAATTAAAATCATAGAAAATTCTACTTATGCATACATTTGACTCATATTAAAAGGAAAATTAATTTTACAACATTGGGAATTTATGTAGTAATGAAATTCATAGAAATAAAATTACTTAAAGTTTAATAATAGCAAACATATATCATTTTAGTGTGATTGAAAAGGGTTTCCTGTTGGGCAGTGGTAAGCCCAGCACTTGGGAAGCAAAGGTAGGCAGATCCCAGTGAGTTCAAGCCCAGTTTGGTCTACAAAGTGAGTTGAAGGACTGTTGCACAAAGAAGCCCTGTCTTGAAAAACAAACAAACACACAAACAATGAAAAAAGGAAGAAAAGGGCTTCCTTGGCTAAAAACAATGAATTATTGTCCATTCATTCATTAACTATACGAACGCAGCTGAGAAGAAAGCATGGGCAAGAAGTTGTGGGGAAAATCAAAGTGATAAAGGTGATATGAAGATTACTTCTTGAGATATTAGTGCATTATTAAAATTAATTCCATGAAGGTAGGACTCAAATGGGCTCTTTGGTGAGAGGGGCTTGTTGGAGACAGTGCTTCATGTAGCCCAGGTTGGCTTCCAGCCACTATGTACCTGAGGATGGCCTTGTACTTCTGAACCTCCTGACACCATCTTCTGAACACTGGGGTTAGAGGCAAATACAACCACTCTTGGTTTATGCAGTTGTGGAGATTTCACCCCCGGGGAATCAAGCATGCTAGGTAAGCTCATCTCCAGCCCACGAATGAGCTTCAGCTGCACATGTTGGAACTCTACTCACTGTTTGGTGTCTATTTGTATAAAGGGACAAAAATATAAGAGAACAGCAAGAGACTGACTTGGCCATATGGAAGGTTTTATGTTTTCGAAAGGTTAAATTATACAATATTCTTGTGATCTTTAGAGATCTGGGATGCTTTCTGTTATGTTGGGGTTTCCAATAAAGGGCTTTTTTTTTGATAGGACAAAATTTATAGAATAGTAAAAGTCTGTGGGCATAGAATGGCTGTTTATCTTCAGGTTACATAAGGATTAGTGATACCACAACACAGAAAGTCACAGGCTCAAGTTGCCAACTGGATGTATTGGGGCTGAACCTACAGCCTCATTCTAGCTAGATCAGCCCTTCACTACTGAGCTTGGTCTCTCATCTTTTTTATGATATTTATGTGTACTAGCGTTTTGTCTACATGTATAGTACATTGTGTATGTGCCTGGTTGCCCTTGGGGCCAGAAGAATGTGCTGGATCACCTGGAACTGTAGGAAGAAAAGGTAACGAGCTACCTTGTGGGATATGGGTGCTGAATCTGAGTCCTCTGCAAGAGCAACAACTGCCCCCAACTGCTGAGCTATCTCTCCAGAGCCCTCCTGTAAGTTTTCATTTTGACACAGAGTCTCATGAGTTTCCCAGGCTAGCCTTGAACTCACTGTTGTTCAAACTGTCATTGAACTTGATTTCATCCTGCCTCAGCCTCCCAAATAGCTGGAATTTCAGGCCTGTGCCACCGCTCACACTAAGAGCTCCTCTTGATCCTATGTGACACTTGTCCCTGTGTTAAAATGTCACCATTTGCTACAGGTCTTCAAGAACACAAACTGGAATTGTTTAATGTCCTGACAGTTTCCTCTGCTGAACCCCCTTTTGTCCCTATGGTATTGAAGCAGGAGAGTTACCCCTTGTCCTTGGTTGTTGGGACCCTCAAACCCTTGGAAACATCCTGAATTACAGTTACTGCTATTTATTATTTTTTATGAAAACTTTGGGTCCCACCTAGTTTGTGTTAATTAGATGACTCAGAGTGCGGCCACGGGTCCAGAAATATCTTCTAGGTTAGGAGAGGGCTAGGGCAGGGGATTGAAAATGGCATTTTATTAGCCAAGTCCATGGGGCAGTTCATCCTCCCTCAATAACCTTTGACTATGACTCCACTCGTGTGGCAAGAGCCAGTAATACGCCTAGACTGCTGAGGTCAAACAAAGGAAGCCAGCATTTGGACCCAGTCAGGTCTTACCCTATGTGCTTCTTCATTTGGCCAGTCCTGGTTCAGGCAACACTTTCCTGACTCTGACATTCTAGAAGACTAACTTGACAGAGTCAAGGAAGCTCTCATTTCTGTAGTTAGTTAGCCAAAAGTGGTATAGCCCAAACACTCCTGGAGTGTGGCTGGTATCTGATATTAATCAGTTTTGTTGAGCACGGACCCCTATAAAATGCTGTAATTTATATTAACTCTGGGTATCTACTGTTGGAACAGTACTGCAGGACACCAGTTGATGTCAGAATGCCCAATGACATATGGAGAAAATTAATTCACATTTTAAATGGAAAAATTGTGGAAGAAGATGTTTGTTAAGAATGCCACCAGTATCTCCTAAGGATAGTGAAAGCCCTAAAGCATGTTGAAGTAAGAATTCTAAAACTTATTTCACTTCATTTGCCTGTAAGATTTTCAATGCAAGTACAACAGGCATGGAGGACAGATAAAAATGACAACTGTATGAAAGTAAAAACCATGAACTTTAGGTTCTTAATGTAATTAGTACCTGTATGTTGTGGGGCTGACGTTGATTTTCCGTGGAACACTGCAGGATTCAAATTTGTTAGCCAAAGTGACATTGTTTCCAAACAGGCAGTAGCGGGGCATTTTTACTCCAACAACTCCAGCAAAAACTGACCCAGAATGCAGTCCAATTCTCATCTGAAAGCAAAATAAGAGTGTTCCAGTCACTGCAAAGTCACTTCCGACTTGTCAGTATTGTTTGAGTGTCTCGTCCAGATGTTTCTAACCACTGTAACATACTCCTCTCTTCCAGTGAGCCACCCTCTAATGTTCATGCAGAGAGACATTACCAGTGTTCACACCGGGTAAGTCTGCTCCATTGGGTGTTTGGTTTTTTATTTCACCCATCTTTAACATCTGGAATACACCTGTTCTCAGGTCTCTCAGGGTCACTGCAGAAGAATAACAAAGAACCTGGGAGCTGCTCTCACAAAGCTGATCTGCCCTTCAAATGAGAGAAAGACTTCCTTTCTAGACTCTAGCAGGAAATTCTGGAAACAGCAACAGAGAAGGACCACCTGTAGCTCCAGATACTCAGGCAAAAGCAGGATGGTCTGCTGAACTCTGGAGCTTGAGGTCAGCTTGGGCAAGACAGTCAGACTCCAATCTCAAAATAAAAAGGTACAGGATCTAAAACAAAACATTTTGCTTTACTGTAAATTAAGCCAAACACTAGTCCTTTCTTTAAATGACTATCAACTAAGGAGAAAGATTTGTAAAATTGAAGTGGAAATGATAGAGGATAGAGAAAATTGCAGAGTGTCTGGGACCTAGCTCATATAGTTACAATTTATACAGTCTAGCCTGCTCAGGAACCTCAACATGAAACTTAGGCAATATCTAAATAGAAGACATAGTCTGACAGAACTTAGAAATTATGAACGATCAGATGAGCCTTTGGATGAAATATCTTCTCTTTATTTTGAGCCCAAGTCCAGGTTGTCCTTGAAGTGGCTATATAGCCATGGGTAGTCTTGAATATTTGGTTCTCTTGCATCCACCTCCAAATGTTGGAATTGGGATGAAATACTATTAAATGGGCTACTCTAAAAGATCCAGTTCCTCGATGAAGTGAGAGGATGCCCACATTCTTAAGTGGCTGCTACAGAAAGCATGTTATCAGATTGCAAGGACATCTTATTATGCTCATTATATTTAGATTCTATATCTAGCTGGTCATTTGAAAAGTTTAATTAGCTATATGTCTTTTTTTAAAAGGCCAAAGACTCAGTTATCTGAAGTATTGCTTTAATTAAAGGACTCTGTGTGTTTTTAATTTTTAAAATTTATTTATTATTCAGGTGTGGTGGCTCATACCTTTAATTCTAACACGACAGAGGCAGAGGCAGAATCTCTGTGGTTTGAGACATGTCTGATCTACATATTGAGTGCCAGGACATCCAGAGTTGCACAAAGAAATCCTGCCTCAAAAAAGGAAAACAGTGGGGATGGGAGATAGCACAGAAATTTGCGAGGTCCTGGGGCAGCTCTGTAGGGGGGGTTCTCTCCTCCCACCACTGACTGTGAGGACAGCCCTCACCAAGGAAGGTTGCACAGAGTCTTCACATATCTGCTGAGCCACCTTGCCGGCTCAAGTTTTTCTTCAGAGAGCAGCCTCCTGAAGATCTGCTTTCTGTGCCTTTGTTTCCCTCTGCTTATTTCTTCATCTCTAAAACACAGCCATGGATGATTCTGAAAGTCAGAATCTTAGCTGTGTGCGGTACCTAGGGTTTTTCATCTTTAGGAGAGTATGGATTTACACACCTAACAATTGCACAATGTTAAGTCGGCCATACACGCAGCCTTAATATATTAAGGAGTTTGTGTTCTCTTGGGCACACTCTCACTCCAGTTTCCCTATGCCTATTGATGTTTGGACTTTTTAAGAGATAAGTTTACCATAATATTCTATTTTTTATTTCATAAGTAATATATAAGTGCATTCTCCTCACAGACATGGCCGAGGCCTCACACGTTCCTTCCACACAGCTCTCCCTTTCTCCCTTCTCCAGTTCTCAATCTCGCATTTACCCCAAATTCAAGAACAAGAGCTCATCCATAACGTAAGATGAACAACATGCCTGAAGAAATCTTTCCATTGGGAAAAGACAGCAAAATAACTAAAGAAAACGAGAATGTCATCTCTCAGTAACGCTTGAAGGTCGCTTTAAAGTGAAGAAGCCCCCAACTGGAGGATGGCTTTGGTGTTGCCCGTTTCATCTCCAGGGCAGCTAGGCAAGGAGAGTGCCTGAGGTGGGTTTCCCCTCTTTCCTTCCACTTACTGACTTTCACTGTGAAGTCCAACCCTGAGTTCTCTACCCATCGTGCACTCCCAGTTTCCCAGGCCTGAATGGATGAGAACGAGTGAGGAAAGCAGTAAGGAGAAGTGAGTTCATGACTGATACGCACATGTGACTAAACTAGGGAATAGCAGAGCTAGGAAGAAAAACCAACAAACGAGAAAACAAAACAGAAAACCACCAGGGAAACAGCTTTTACTTTTTCATGATGAAGCCAGATGAATCCAAGACTTCACTCCAGACTCCCAAGGAACTTGGCCAGTCTTCAGATGTCCCCCAGATTAAATGAGGCAATGTCTGAATCACAGTGTGCAGTACTTCACACACATTTACATTGCCCTGTCTGCTAAAAGCACTCCACACTCAACCCTGTATTGCTCACTATGAGACTCTAAATACACAGGACTGAAGATGAATTGTCTAATAAGAGACCTATTTAATGTCTCACTTCACAGGTCACTAAGGCTGACCTGTTATTACACAGGTAATTATCTTTTTTTCATATTTTTTACACGTCACTTTCAGTTCCCTCTCCCTCCCCTCTTTCCCCACTCCCTCAATCCTCCCAATCCCTCACTCCCACTCCATCCCCCCTCTGATCCCCAGGGAGGGCAAGGGCCTCTATGAGGGATTTTCAGAGTCTGTCACATCATCCCAGGAAGGGCCTAGGTTCTTCCCCATGTGTCCAGGCTGAGAGAGCATCCCTCCACGTAGTATGGGTTTCCAGAGTCCCTCTATATGCCAGGAATAAATACTGCTCCACTCTCCAAGGTCCCACAGATTGCCAAGGCCTCCTCTCTGTCGCTCAAGTTCAGTGGGAGGGTGTCTGGATCAGTCCCATGCTGGCCCCTCAGTCATCAGTCTGGGGTCCATGTGTTCCCCTTGTTTAGGTCAGCTGCCTCTGTGGGTTTCAGCAGCCTGATCTTGATTCCTTTGGTCAGGTAATTATCTTTAAGGGGACCTAAAAATAATTCTCCTAGTCTCAAATATAAGAAAAACTACATTGAGACAACTAATGAAAACCCTGCTGTTAATCACTTGATATGGATCTGACATATAAAAATAATTTATGTGGCAATCTTGGCCTTATTGCTAATAGTCTAGATATTTTTAATATTTATTGTGATGTTATGAACTCTCTTATCAAAATATTAGAAAAAAGAACATTTATTTCCTAAAAATGCAAGTATAGAAGCTAAATCCTAATGTGAGCTGCTGTGAAGATTTTAAAATACAGCTGCAAGGTATCCCATACCCACGTGCTTCAGATTTGAGTCTGTGTTCCCTCCCCTGAGCAGACAAGTGAGTGCTCCAAATAATGGAATAGGTGGAAATGCCTCCATGTGCCGTGTAAGGTTACATAATAAAAGGTCATGCACCACCTACCAGTCGTTCACTGGGATGTTGGCCTCCATGGTAATATGTATAATTACTCTTAGCCCATCATGCTGGAGCGTATAGTGTGTGAGAAGACAATAGCAGTTGGTACCAGACTTTCTATCACCCTACCCAGCAGGTGGGTAAAGCTGCTGTATTGGAATGGATCGTCTTGTTCATTCAATACTACCCTAACTTTTCCATACACCCCCATCTACCTGGTTATTCTTAGTGAAAGACCCAGGTATTTTGCTCCCAAAACTTGGCAGCCTTGCTCTACCTTATTCAAACGCAGGTAGTACAAAATCAGTGTACAACAAATGGCTGGGGATTTATACTAGTTCATGTTGGGAAGTGTCTGATACAGCAATATATGAGTGAGCTGACAGATGAATTGGAAGATGTTATCAAGGCTTAGACATATGGCTTCTTTTAAGGTTACACAAGGCCAAGGTTAAACTTGTCTTTACTATAGCTTTATTTTTTATATTTTTCTTCTTTGTTGAAATTGGACACCGAAAGTTGAGTAGATAGAATTCTGTATTATTTTGGGGGCTCATTACTGAAAAGTCATCAGTAGGGGAGTGTTCTTTTAAGATTGAGTGGTAAATTTACTATAAGACAACTCCACTCAGGTTTTAATAATCAGCACCTGACATTTTGCTCTTATTTTCTTTTTGGAACAGTACATTATGCTGGATATGTCTCATCTAGAATTCTTACATTGTCACATGCCTAGAGAATACTGTTGGTTCCACAGTCGATATTCTTTCAGTTTTATATTTTTATTAAAACTTTATTATAAAGAACATGCAAATAAAAACATATCAGACACTGAAGTTAACCATTCAAAATCTGCGCACCTCAGTGAACCTCTATAGAGTTAGATCAGCCATTCCATAGCTCATTTTCTAAGGGGATATCCTCTGCTATTGCTGAAAAACAAATACTTCATTTTCTAAATTGCCTGGTACTATCTAGATGGATAAAGCTGGATGGATGCTACACATATGCATTGGGCTGTAGAAAGTCATCCTGCCACGGAGACAGTGTTCCTTGTATTTCTAGCTGTGAGTACTGCTGTGGGAGCTTTGTGATTATCTAGGACATGCTTAGTAGAGAGCCCATTTACCAGTCTCATATCGTGAAACGATAGTGATGTAAGAATTTCTGTACTGCTGGTTCAGTTTCTAGCAGGTGTCAGTTCGTCTTTTAGCTACCAGTACAAGAAGCATCTTTCTGCAAGGATAGTCTTCTGCCAAAGTTGCAGTGTTGTAGGTATGGAATCTGATTCCTAACCATAGGTAAAGCACTGGTTTGCTATGGGTCTTTAGGAGATGATTTTGACAAACCAACTTGCAAATGTCATTTTCACTCATCTCAATTATCTTGTAAGACTATGTAACAGCCTGTGGTGATTTTTCCCCTACCTAAACAAATTAGAGAAGACTTTCCTCTTTAAAACTAAACCCTGGTCAACGCACCAGGTTTTCTGACAACAAACTAGTGTGCAACTTGTTATTGTCTTACCTTGATGGGTTCTCCGTGGGGAGACATGACCTCATTAGAGAGCTCCATCATCTTCAGGGCCATCAGTGCTATCTGGACAGCATGGGTGTCACTCTCTCTGTGCAATCCTCCCGCCACACAGTATGCATCCCCAATGGTCTCCACCTGGATATAATATAATTTGTCAATTACAAATAAGCGCTTGGAAGGTGCCAGCACAGCAGAATCATACAGCAGAAACTTGAGTGTTCTGGCCCTGTGGACAAGTGGGACAGTGTCAGAAGTAACTTTTCATTTCATAAAATGCACAAGGTGCTAACCCCTGCCCAGAGAAGAGTGAACTGAAAGACTTCATGGTCTGTGAAGGCACTATCAGATGGTCTCTATTGTAGACTTGCTACTAAGCACACGTGCAGTTTCCTAAAAAAAAAAAAGGCAACAGTAGAAACTATATAAATTGACTTTTATATAGCAAATGGATTTGCTCATTAGATCTTTTTAGATTTCATTTTTATTCGTTACAGTGTGTGTGTGTGTGTGTGTGTGTGTGTGTGTGTATGTAAGCCATGTGTGATTGGTTGCCTACAGATGCCAGAAGAGGGCATTGGATTCCCTGGAGCTGGAGGTACGTGCAGTTGTGAGATTTTCTTTGTAGATGCTCAGAAATAAACTCATGTCCTCTAGAAGAACAGGAAGAGTGCTCAATGGCTGAGGCATTTCTTCAGCTCATAATTTGAATTTCTAGTAAATTTTGATAGTGAGATCAATTTCTATCATAAAACTACATTTTGCATGAAATTACCCTCCACCAACAATGTCATATGAACACAATAAAAAAGTATAATGTAAAACTGAGACACCAGTAGCCATAAAAACAAAAGAGAAAGAGCTTTTCTAAAGGATTTTTGGGAATTTCAGCAATTATTAAGGGCACTCATGTATATCAACTACAAAGGATGGATTAAAAACCAAGTTTTCAAGATGGGAAATAAAAACAACCATGCTTGCAAAGCTATTGGAAAACAAGCTGTTGTTTAAATTTGAACTATGCTTAGCATTATCATTGTCCTTTCCATAAGCAACTTTTCTGTCTGTGAGTAGCTACAGAGAGCTAAATATTAATTGTTTTAAATACATATATAATTCTTCTATTCCCAGTGGTTGGACTTTTCCTGCCCTTACGTTCTGTTATTCTTACCTACACAGTCCATTATAAATTACAAAAGTAAGAAGAGAGCAAAGGGAAGGAGGGACAAGCATGAACTACTTCAAATAATTTCCATTATCAATGGAAGAGCTACTGTACTTGGACACCTCCAGAGTTGTTCTGAACTAGTTTTTGCTGAAGTGTGACTCTATCTATCTTCTCATTGTTCCTCTTTCTCCAGTCACTGAAGTTCCATTGTCACTCAACTATACTAAGCACAGTCTCTCTTATTCTTCATTTACCTAGAACAAGCAGCAGATACCTGTTTATCATTAATGTTCTTAAAACATTACCTTATTAGAAACATCTGTTTTAAACCTTGTGCAGAGCTATGATCTTTTACCATCTTCAGTTCTTCTACTTCTTAATCAGCTCTGTTTCTTCCAAAAAAAATCCATCAACCGAAATTGTATATATAGTTATCCCTTCTTCTCTACTATACTAGAATGTAAAGACACTAGTATGTCCGTTGCATTATTTGTATCACTTACACCCAGTAATGCATGAACAGGCAACAATACCTTGCTTTTCCTCACTCAGAAACAGGGAGCAATACTTGCTCCTTATGGGTGTTCAAGAGGAACGCTCTTCCTAATGCAAACCCTATCATCGCGTCCCAACACAACAGTTAGGAGGAGTATTACTCCCCACTTGTACTTTCAGGTGCCTATTCCCTCTGCTGTCATCACATTTTGTGCCTACTAGAATAGTTAGGTATCCAACACATCAGATAGAAAGTGGACATTTGTAATTTCTCCTCTACTTCCCACGTGTGACCTTATCTCAGCCTGGGACAACAGTATTTATTGTCCACTCAAGAAAGCAAATATTGGATAATAAACAATATTATGCTGAGATAATATAGGAACAGGGAAATAATACTTAAAAGACTGAACTGCAAAAAGAAAATGAAATCACATAATTATCTCCTGTAACAAAAGCAGTTGACTATTCTTTAGAGTCATTTTAACTTACAGTTCATGCAATGACGATTTTATACATAAAAGCCAGTATCAGGAATGAATTACCACTTTTTGTGTTGTTGGCTAATGGAGGTCCCATAGACCATTTTGTTAGCATTCAGGCATCTATACTGGCCTTTCCTTGAGGTTCTGACAGGATATGCATGCCTTCTGCTGTAGTCAATAAGAGAACCACCTGTGCACATTCACTATGTTCCCTTTTAAAATGGTCCTGTCTACCTCCCATCTTTTTCTCGCTCTCTTGCTCTTCTTCTCTGCCTGTCTCTCTGTCTCTCCTTCTTTCTCTGTCTCTGTCTCTCTGTCTTGTCTGTCTGTCTCTCTCTTCTGCTGCTCCTGTCTCCAGAGGCCAGTCTCCCATCTCCCTTCCCATATTTTCCCATTCATTTTCCCCCAATAAAAACCCCATCCACCTAAGCTCTGTTGTGTTGTATTTTTCTCTTGTGCACCACTTTTTAAAATTACAACACCCTTAAAAATACAATCTATTGCCAATGCTGTGGATTACTCTCCAGAACTTGGCAGTAAGCTCTTATTGCTGAAGACATTGCATATTTGGGGCATAAAAAAAGAACAATTTAATTGATAGTCAACTGGAAACTTCAACCATAATGACTCACTTTCATAGTGCTAGTGCTAGAGGGTTGTCTGAGAAGAGGGTTATTTGAGAAGAAAAGTAATAATCTAACCCAACTGTGAACACTATGAGCTACATTAATGACATGCCTGGCAAGATATAGCCACCGATGGCATGAATGTTAAGGCAGTAGCCAATCACGTTAAGAAATTTTATTTAAAGCTCATTCCATAAGATGTAACCTGTATTTGATAAGGTAAAGGAAACCAGAAGCTGGTGACTAGAGAGGTCGTGAGCTATATGTGAAAACCTACTGTTATACTGTTAAATGGATGTAGCATCAAAATGATTTGTAATGATGTGTGACTACGCCCGCCAATCAGTACATCTCTGTAATCGACAGAGAATCTTCTTCTTGCAATAGATGGAAACTAACATTGAGACTCACAACTGGTCAATACGTAGAGAACAACAAATTTGGGAATGCTTGACCCAAAATGCAATGTCTGTATCACATCCCTCCCCTCAAGGTTTGGGATCAACTTTTCAGAGGGGACAGAAACATTGTTAAAACAGAGGTAGAAGATGACTTCAAAGAAACTGTTTTACACACACAGCAGAGCAGATGCACATATGAACTCACAGTGATTGCAACAGCATGCATAAGTCCTGTGAAAATTGTCAACACAAAATCCCATCATGGTGGAAGCGGGTAGGAATGGAGTTTCAGCCCCAGTCGAGAAGGAGGTTTTGGCATTTGATTACTGCTGGGAGGGGAAGAGTCAGTTTTGTTTAATTACTTGACACCTGGTATATTAAGCACACTCCATGGCAGGCCCCATTTCCAGGGGTAGTTGGCCAACACCAACTAGACTTGGCGGGTTTTAACTAAGAGAACATGAAGTTGAGTAGGTAGACAGGTAGGAGGGGTTCAGAGAGGGAAATGAATATGGTCAAAATATAATGCATGAAACTCTTACAACTGTTTTAAAAAACAGACCCTTCATAATCTGTTTTCAGCCATTTCCAAGTAGAATCAGAGATGAGGAAAGAGAAAAATGAGGACTGGGGGAGCAGTGACTAGTGGTGTGCTGTCTGGCTCCTCTGAATCCAGTCAGTCAAGGAACTTTGTGGAAGCCTGTCCTTTTCTTGGAGGGGATATAACTCAGAAATCCTTGGTAGAACCCTTGCAACTAAAAGCAGGGGGTGACAAGTACTTTTGCAGTGCTCACAGCAGTCTGTGGAGGAAAAAGGATGTGCTTCTCTCAGTTCTGAGTGAGGGAGCCATTCTCCATGGAGAACTTAGCTAGAAATCAACAGTGAATTCCACAAGAGGCCATGAAATGTAACTGAACCAATGCCAATTATCTTATCTGTAATTATACAAGGTCCTCTTCTCCACCCTCCCCCAAGAAAATCACAACTCCCTGGGAGATTTCCCGTAAGGAATTTCACAAGATGCTGCTAGCATCTCCTCAGAAACAAGGCGGGGTCTATGTATTCCCATAAACAATATTTGCTTCCTCCCAGTAGTGTATTTCTTTTGTGTCAGGCTGAACTCTGGAGTTACCAACCACTGAGACAAGCTAAACAGATGACTTGAGTCACACAGAAGAATGTTTCATTCTTACTGCCACTGTCTAAAGCGAGGCAAAAGAATTCAAACCACTAAAACCTTTTCATCAAACAAAACAGGCAGAACCTGAAATTTCATTTTTCTCCCCTTTTATAATATTTCAAGAAATGACATATTTGGCATCCAGAATATAATAGTGTTCTTGGGTCCCCATATCTAGAGAGACACTTAAGTGGTCCCTGACACCTCTTGAATAATCCCAGAACCTGAGCCAAAACACATAGCATCTACAAAATATTCATGACAGTTCTGTTCACAAAGGATATGGGACATTATTCATGGATATGAGTGCTGGGCAGGGCTATTGCTTTGGCTGCTTTAGAATTGTGAAATCACTTTCTCCATTAAGAAAAGCAAGAAGAGGGGCTGGAGAGATGGCTCAGAGGTTAAGAGCACTGTCTGCTCTTCCAGAGGTCCTGAGTTCAATTCCCAGCAACCACATGATGGCTCACAACCATCTACAATTCAATCGGGTGCCCTCTTCTGGCCTGCAGACATACATGGAGGCAAAATGTTGTATTCATAATAAATAAATAAATTAAAAAAAAGAAAAGCAAGAAGAGTAGAGGGCAGAATCTGCATGTGGGGCCCTTTGAGTGTATCTGCCTTTAATGAAGATGCACTAAACATCTTAAGTAGCTGATTTTGATTTGCTCACTGCCTATGAAAAGTATCAAGCAAGCTGTGCATTGAATTAACCTATTTTAGGACAATTTGTATAAACCTTTTGTTGCTTTATTTTTAAAGATACAAAGGCTAAAGTTTCCCTCACTGAGTCATACATGTAATTAGCTCTTGTTTAACTCAGTTTCCATAGTTAAGTGGCTGGTCCATGGATGGCTAATACCTAGCTTTTCACCATGAGAACCATCCATTCAACCTAATCTCTCTCCACTCGATGCTCATTTTTAGAAGACAATGTGGCAAACATCTCCGGAACAATTAGTTCTTACTGAACTATTTCTGGCTGGAGAACACCCATCTAATTAATGTACAATACCTGACCCACAGATATATACCCAAATGCAGAAAACTATTCATCAGCATTGAGGTTCACTCAGGTGCTAGGCACTGTGCCTTTCCAAGGTGACTTCTACCAGCTAAACCGTCTTTGTCCTACTTCCCCTACCTTGTAGACATCCAGTTCTCCACACTGCTGGTCAAAGCGGGTGTACAGAGCATTTAGCATGGTGATGACCTGTAGGGGTGAGCACTGAGAGCAGATGGCAGTGAACCCTACAATATCTGAGAAGAGCATGGTGACATTACTGAACTTCTTGGCTTGCACAATTTGTCCTTGCCACAGCTGCTGAGCAACCTCACTGGGAAAGATAGAGCACAGAAGGTCCACTGTCTTCTTCTTCTCTTCCTCCAGGGCTTGGTGGGCATGCTCCAGGGTGGCCTTCAGCTTGCCAAGCCTCTTCTTGAGGCCATCTTGAGCCCTTGCCTGTTCCCCTATTAAGACAACATCCCTCAGGGCATTATGGATTGGGATGTCAGACAGATAGAGCCCTCGTCCTGTGAAATCTTCCAATCTGTCCACACAGGGTGATCCCAGGAACAAGATGGCATTGGATTCAACAATGTAGATCATTTGGCCTTTGAGATCCATAACCTACAAAGCAAAGGAGAAGCAATTACAGTGTGTTAGCCACGTTCCCCAAACCATTTGGAAACAAGAGGGGCAGTAGATACCAGCATAGTCTGGTTTCCAATTTGCTACAGAAGAAGAATATGATTTTTAACCAGTTCAGTTTTCTGTCAGTTCTAAAATTCATGCAAGCATTTGAAGAATATATTAGAATATACTATACAATCATTATGAGATGATGTAAGCAATGAGAAAGTCGTCTTGCTCTGAGACCCTGTGAAAAGGTACACTGGTGCTATTGTTGCTGGATCATTAGATTCTTCTGATATTCTTAAGAAGTTAATCTGGAGTTACAGTTCTCACATAATATGGTGCCTATTAAAACCTAGTTTCTGTTCATCCTGAACTTCCCCCTCATTCTCTTTCTCACTACAGATTTTTCTTTCTTTCTTTCTTTTTTTTTTTTTTTTTTTTTTTTGGTCTTCTATTTTAGCAAGCTTCTCTTCTGCCATGAGTTACATGTTCCATCTGGCAAGCCCTGAAGCTAAAATGTCTCTAAATATGTATCTGAGCATTTCTTTCTTTTCTGTCCTGATATAGATAAAAAAAACATCTTTTGGAAGTGATTATTTCTACAGGAATTTCAGCCTAAGATATTTTACAAGACCCATGGTAATGCCTATGTTTCAGTTTTGCCCTCAGCTCCTAACAAAGGCTATTTTCCCAAACACACAGAAAATTACAACTCAGCCTATAATCACAATGTACCCAGAGGGCCTTGCAAGAGGTAGGGCTTCAAAGAATTGTCGTGGACCTCAAAATTAACTTGTATACATATAGACAAGCACACATATGGGTGTTTACACTGTATCAGAGTCCAAGCAACCAAGTGCTCATCAGTGAGAGACTGGAAAAATAAAATAAAACATAATCATATAGTACAATAATCCACAGCTTCCAAAATGTAGAGATAGACCAATGCCCAACAACAGCGATGGATGACCAAATTCTGTCCTTCAGTGACAAAAGTAGTTGTAGAGATTTACTGTTGCTGCTATAAGCAAGTATGCATATATCGCTTCTCTTGTATTATATATATATATATATATATATATATACATAAGCTAGCAATACAGCTGTTTTCATTTTGAGGAACACTCAGTGTGTCTGGGAGGTAATGTTCCTAAGGCCACTCCTTATCTAAGTGTGTGATGCTTCCAGGCAGTTAGTAGACTTTTGCTCCTGAGAGTAAATGATTGTCAGTATTCTTTACCTTGAGAGCATGCCCTCCCTTAAACACACATTGGATAGCAATTAATCAAGCTACTTATTTTTCCATGTATTTATGTATTGATTAAAATTCATTTACTCATTTCTTGCAGTACGCCACTTTGTTCTTACAGAGTGATATTTTTATTACTCAAACCAAGTGAGCTATTTGATAACAAACATAAGTAAATTTTCATGTGAGCACTTCTAACTTGGTTGTAAAGTTCTCCACTGTGATTTTATATTTGTTTGTTTACTTGTCCTTAAATGTCTCTACATTTACTTTTATGTGCATGTATAGGTATGTATGTGAGGGCATACACATGTCACAGCACATGAAGAGGTCTAGGGACAACTTGTAGGAGCTGTGGCTTCCTTCCAACGCATAGTTCCAGAACTCGTATTCAAGCTTGGTGGCAAGCACCTTTAGTCACTGAGCCATCTTGCTCCAAACCTTGTTTTGTGATAGGGTGTCATTCACCTTGAGCTAGCCTTGAATTGTATATATAATCAAAGACGGCCATGAACTCCCCTCCCTCTATCTCCTGAACGATGGAATTAGATACACGTGATATAAACCAGTCCAGTTTTATCGAATGCTTGAGGTCAAACCCCAGCCCTCCCTGCAGGTCAGGCAAGAGCTCTACAGATGAGAGATACACACCCATACCATCACTGGGATTTAAAGAGGCAAACTGCAGTCAATAAATATTTGTAATGAGTGAAGTAGACAAGAAAAATGAACATAGGAAGAAGTTTGCTTGCTAAAATTATTTTAGAATTTTAGACAGATGTGTTACCAAAAATAGCATGCGCTCATTTGTTTTGTGGTTTGTTTCCCTTAAATATTAAACAGCTTGTTCTATTTTGAATAAAATACTGCGTTTTCCTTACCCTTGATGATTTCTTCACAGAGTTATCCCATCTCCTCACTCGTATGACAAACTGCATGTTCAACATTGTCATGATGCCACTAAATGTCTGGTTGATTTTGGGAGTCAGAATTTCAAAGAACTCTTCAAAGTTCGGTTTCCCTTGGAAGTCCCTCTTGTTCACCAGCCTTCTGATGCCATTACCCAGCTGCAGGATGGCCAGGTCTCGGTCGAGCATGAAGTGGAACGGGAAGGTCTTGCAGAAGAGCGAAACCGGGATCACAAGCGAGGACTGGGGCTTGCCTGGGGACAGAGAAGGCTTGGTGCTCTTGACTTGGACAGAGTAAAGCAAATAGGGCTGATTCACAAATTCGGTGCAGTCACTTCTGAAGCAAGGAGGCATCAGAGACACCTCTACATGGCTTTCGTACAATATGCGAGCGGCCGCTTTAATGATACCGGGGAGAAGCAGGGCAGTGGTTCTCTTAGGGAAAAAGTAGTAAACATTTAGGAAGTCATGGTCCTTGTCCAGGCACAAGATGGAGGCGTCTTCCAGTCGCCCCCTCTTCTCTGCCTCTTGGCAGTGGCTGCTCTGCTTCAGGAGCGTGCTGAAGCTGTTGAGAAAGTCCTTCAGTGTGCCGCCCACCACGCCCAGGATGTGTTCATCTTCCTCATAACAGATCTTGAACAGCTCCTCACCCAAAGAGTCTTTGAGCGCCTCTACGGGGACTCCTGCAAGCACACAACACGGTAGGCTATCAAGCATGTCAGCTCAGAACTCAGAACCGGCGGCTGCTGCTACCAAACACAACTGCCCTTGATTTGTGGTTAACTTCTTTTGCTATCTTCTGAGTCCCAACTCAAATCAAATGCTCACACTCAACTTATCAACATAGATAACATTTTAGAATTCTGGTAAGTCTGATTAACCATCTTCAAACTTTGTTTCAACCCAAGAATGACTAAGTGAGTAGAATGCACTATTTTTATCTCTCTTCACTATTGAATAACTAGAGCTCTAGGGCATTTCAGAGGAATCTTATCTGTCTTTCTCTTAACCACACAACATGAGTCTTCATGAAGTTCCAGAGAGGCCGCAACAGTGCAAGAGTTACACCTGAAATTAATTTAACACATGAAACTGTTATGTCTGGAAATGATTTCAGGTTGTTATTTGACGTTCCCTAAGTGAATATGTGCATGAATTACAGTACTCACCTTTAGCTTCTTCTCAGCCTTCTTTCTTATCTCCATACACAGGGTACCGCATTTTTTATTATTTCTTTTATTTTTGAGATAATAAAACAATTGCATCACTTCCCACTTCACCCCAGATCCTCCCATACACCCTGCCCTGTTCTGTTTCAAATTCATGACCTCTTATTTGCATTAATTGTTGCGTGCACATACATATCTATGCATACAAATATATTTCTAAACAATGACAGCTCAGTCTGTATAATGTTATTCGAATGCATGTTTCAGGGCTGAATATTTGGACATGATGATGGTTGGTGTGCTCTTCCCCCAGGAAGACTACTTCTACACTGAGGATTCCTCAGTTTTCTATAGTTCTTTATGGAGGGTTGAGACCTTATGGACTTTTCTCCATCCACTTTGGCAGGCCCATTACTGATGTCCTTATTCAGCTCGTGTTTGGGCAGTCATGTTGGTGAGACTTTATGTGTGCTGCTTCTTATATTACTAGGAGATACAATCTTACAGCAAGCTTCCTGGTCCTTTGACTCTTCCAATCTTTCTGGCCTCTGTTCTACAATGTTCCCTTAGCTTTAGATATGGAAATGTTTTGTAGATATGTCCATTGACACTGGACTCCACAACTGTACATTTTGATTAGTTGTGGCTTTTTTGCAATTGGTTTCCATCTGCTGCACAGAAGTTTCATACATTTTTCTCTTGTAAAGTAGAAAGCAATGCTACCCTCTTTGAGGAATATTGTGACCTGTGGGAATTATTTTAGAAGTGTCTATCTCCCAAGAATGGCTCAGTATAAAGTAGTCCTTGCTAACATTGTATTTGTAAAAGCATGCTTTTGTAAGCCTGTAACCTTCTGGATTTTCACACTCATATTCTGAAAGGACTCTCCAGCAGTTGCTCATTTATCTTTTGTCTGGTGCTAATTATCAATGTGGGAACTCTGCCAGACTATTTTCCCATGATGACTTCCAACCATTTAAAATACTCTTTAATTTGCCTTGTTGAGCAGAATTTTTCGTATGCAAACGAGGGAGGCATAGTTTGATTTAAGACCAAAGCCTGTGAATCAGCTTCCCACAGAGGCTTATCTACTTCTCCGTAAATAAACAGTATAGAAGGAGGAAATGTTTCAGGACACAAAAGCAAATAATATAGGAAGGGTTATTCTGTATTAACACACACAGAGTTCCAAGACTTCGTGCTGGGAGCCACTAAGAAATAAATACAAATATGATGAGAGAAATATTAGTTATTTTGGAATGTGATTTGCTTCCTAATTTCATATACTTAAGCAGTTTTATTTATTACCTGATGCAATTGCTTGTTCTGCAATTATTTTTTCAAGGTCTTCTTTTTCTGAGGATTTCCTGTAAATAATTAAGTATCTTAAATTATAAACTGATAAATGATTGCTGCAAATTCAGATTATATACAACATATAGATAACAAGGTGAGATAATCATCTTTCAGAAGCAAATCTTGACTTGCTATATACAAAGCAAGCAGTGACCTGAATAGCTCAAAACACTCTTGGGAAAACCCCAAAGTATACATAGTATGGAGTGTCTCATAATCCCTCATGGAGCACATTTGTCTCTGTGATTCTCTTTACACAGGCCATTGAGAAAGAGAATTTATCGTGGCACATAACCAGGAGTGGGTAACAGTCCAGCAGAGGATGGCAAGCCAAGGTTAAATGGTAGAAGAGCTCCCTTGCATATGGAGGGCCTGGCTTCCACCCCTAGCATCAAAATAAAGAAAGAAAAATATGCTATTAAGTTCTCAAGGGGTCAATCATGTAACCAAGAAAAATAGAATCTATCCACAATGGATTTCGCTGTTGATTCTGAAGCTAAAATATAAAATAGAGGAGTCATTGACACTGAGATTAGGAATTTTTATTATTATCTCTGACATTATTCCTCCAAATTTTATGCCTGGTCATACATACAAATTAGTTACAGATCTGTTTGTTTCATCAATCATTGCATTCTACACAAAGGAAGCTTAAAACAATGACAGCACATATGGCCATCAAAAGGAGGCTGAGATAATTCCAACTGGGCAACTCTTTTTTTAATGGCATTTACTTATCTTATTTACCAGCTGATTAGCTATAATGGTTTGTCTTTCCTTCGGATTTTAAGTTCTTTTTCTGTACTCTTTTTTTTTTTGTATTTTATTTTTTGTAGTCATGGCTAAAATCAGCATCTTTTGCTTTTTTCTATAGTTCCTAAGATAATTACATTTCTAACATTTCTGTGCTTAAGATTAACCCTTTTGCATGATCACTGATGCTTAGCAATATATAATGTCATTGTCTTCATGTATCAACCAGACAACTTTGTGAGATAAGTTTGCCTAGTTGCTTTTTGAAAACTTCTCATTATAGTGACTGATTATGGCCAGATTTTCCAAACTATTCAATTACTGTAAGAGCATTTAGAAATTTATTTAATTGCAAGGTTCAACTTGCCATTAGCTGAGCCAATTTTAAGTGCAGGCATATTTCTCTATTTTAAACAACCTTTACATAAAACATGGTATAATTTAAGAAGTTTTAGAGGGCGATATGGTCCAGAGCACCACATTGTTTCCTAGAAATTGATGCTTATAAGTATGTAAAGTTAAGTGGAAATATTTTATTTAAATGGATCAAGGATCATAATATAACATTATGCTGGATTTGGATGTGGAGACCCACAAACCCTTTGTTAGCTAATCCACTACCATACCAAATACTTACTTTCTTTTTCTTCATTTAAGCAGATTTTTCCCTAAGTATGAGTGAGCCTCCTCAGTCTAATCCTGCCATTTCCTGACCCTCATGCTGCCAGATAAGAGCAGAGTATAGTGTTGTCATTCCAAACAGCATTCAGTGACCTCTAAACTAAATATCACTTGCTTTAGCAAACACAGCTGACAGAAAGACTTGTGAGTGGCCAGTAAACCCATTCATCACACACACACACACACACACACACACACACACACACACATACACACACACACACACACACACACACACCAGTTATCAGTTCATCCACATCTAGTGAGAGAAGGGGGAGGGGAGCTGCCTCAAGAGAGGTCCCAGTGACTCTAGTAGATAAGAACTGGGAACTGGCCTTTGTCCCTTCCTTCAAGGATAGTGCCCTGCTTAATACATTATCTGCGTTTTGTTTGTAAGTCCTGGGAATAAGCTGCATGAAACAGGGTCGGGATGTGTTCATCTGCTGGCAAACCAAGGATAACATAAACAGTAATGTGGGGCGCCACCAAGCCAGTGAGGGACAGAAGCACACAGAGGATGCCCAAGTATTAAAGAAAGCCCAGGGTGCCAGAGCCGCTCCACACACCAGCAGGCAGGAGGGAAAATCCTACCGCACCAACAAGGTCCTCATCGTGGGTGAGGCATAGGCATTCTTTTTTCCTTAAGAATAGATTTCCAAGTGAAATGAGTGTTGTGGACTTTTGTATAGGGTGTACCGCAGCAAACAGGTCTCCATCCAGCAGCAGGGACTTTTCAGAGCACAAAAGCCTGAGAATAAATCTCAAACAAGCTGGCTGCCAACGATTTGCTCAGAGAGTCCCGGTAGCGCAGCAAGATTGACCTGAGGCTATCTTATCAGCCTGCCTGGGAATTGTGGGTAGAGGCAGAGGCGCCTCTGGGATGCTTGTCAGGTCTGTCCTATAAACAAAGCTTCTGTCAGACACAGATTCACACTCTCCTGGGCGGTTCATGCCTCCCTCTTGGCTGAAGGAGCTGCCTGCCTGAAGTCTAACTGCAGCTACTCAGCAGGAAAATCCAGCCCAGACAATCCATAGAGTCGGCTGCATGCTTATGGGAAGAGGCACATGGAGGTGTTTATAGATTGTGGTATCATTTACCTGTCTTCTTTAATTTTATGCTTTGCCAGTGTTCTCTGAAGTGCAAGGTTCAGCCGCTCAAACTGGAAATAAAAAGAAAGAATTGCAGCAGTTTCTTAGGGTTTCTCTTAAGGGAATAGTAACTTTTACTCGATGGTGAGTGTGGTTTTTGACTTGTTGGGAACTGAGACTTCTTTCCCACATGTTTTTTAATCCTGGGAAGAATCATGAGTTCAGACTATTTTGTATTTGGCTTCAGGGAGGTCCCTGGGCTTCACCCATGGCCCTAAGTCTCACAGAGAGTCAAGCATAGTCTGACCCCAAATACAAAATGTCAAGGCCTCTGCAGTGCACGAATTCATACCACCTCTTCCTCTGGGCCAAGAAGTCTCCCTGGACACACATACTGCCAACATTTCAACTGCAGGGCTCAGGCCAGACACACGCTGTTACCTTCCTCCACAATATCCCATCCCAGCTCAGCAAGGACTACAGTGCCTTTCCCCACATACTCTACTCTCATTTCAGAATTCTTCTCAAAATGCCTGTAGTTATCTCTGCTTCCTTCTTAACCCTCAAGTTAATCTGTCACCAGAATTGGTTGTTTCTAGAGTCATGTGCCTGTCATATCTATACTGATTTCCATGTTTCGAAGTAATGATCATCACCAAATATTGGTACTTTTACTCCCTTGTATTGATTTCCAAGAGTTGATGAGTTTTGTTTCTGTTTGTTTGTTTGTTTTTGTTTTTTTGATGAATCATACGTAAGCAATGTCCACCATAAGCATCTTTTTTGAATCTCTTTTAATGTTTCTTTATTCCTACTTGACAAACAAAAGGGGGACCCTTGGTGAGAAATGTTCAGTTCATATCCTGTATGAAAATTGCACATGTCTACGCATGATCTCTGATTCTTATTTTCAGTTTGCACAGAGGAAAGTCAAGAACTTTCTGGATATGATCCAAACTGGGAAATTCCTTTTGCCTTAATCTATTTATATCTCTCCTCATAGAGTTTCCACTAGTCACAGAAGGCAATGCAGAAAAAAAAAGTAGCCACAGTTTTTCCAAAAGGACATGGAGTTTTAAATATGTAGATCAAGCTTGGAAAAATACATACAAAAATTATTCAAACAAATGTAAGCACTAAAAAGAAATTCAAAGCGAATTTAATTTATAGGATAAAGCACATTTTTGGTGGTTTAGGAATAGAGAATGGGGACATATCTGTGACAGGATGAAGAAAAACAGGTAGATGTGCCAAAAGGTAGACTCTGGGTATGTCCTGTTGACTCTGTGACAGCAAAGAGGCCAAGAGATAACAGATGAGTGATAGTTCAGAAAGGAATAGGTCAGCTTACTTCTCAGTAGTCTTTCACATCAGGGAAAAAGAAAGGCCCAATGCAACTCTCAAGAGTAGTAAAGGAACATTCCAAGTAGATGCCTGGGAAACTCATTTTCTCAAGAGCCCCACTCTGCGGTTACTCTACATCATAAGCTATCAACACCAGTGTGATACGAATCCAAGAAACCATGGTCTTCTGAGAATTCTCCCTTCCAAAGAAGATATTCATGGGAAGAACGGATCATGGGGGAAATGGGGTGCTGCCTCTCATCTGTGTTTTTCTTCCAGTATTGCTACTCATGTTTTCTCTTATCATCTGTCTTACCTAGTGGAGTCGAAGTCATGAAAGGGCAAGAAAAGTCCGTTTTGCTCATCTCTATAGGCTCCCGTTAGAAACCATTGATGGATTATGAGGATAGAAAGAAAGTCTAACCAGTCCTGTCAGTGGGGAATTTGTCCTTTTTCCTGTGTGGTACTATGGTAGACATCTTTCTCTTGCTTTCCAGTTACACTCTTTTGCCATTTTAAAAGCTCCTTCTTCGTGTTTCTAGTCCTTACTGTGGTCTCCAGAAGGACCTCTGTTGGGTCCTCTGCCTAACATGCATGGCATAGTAATTTGGGGAGGAGTAAAGATGATGCGTTTTTCCAGGACCACTGGGGAGAGTAGAACAGATGCTTTGTCAGGCTTCCCACTTGAATCAGACTTGTTTTCCTTAAAAAGGAAGTTCTGAATTCTTAAGGAAGCCTGAGTGGATCGTTGTGATGACCTTCTGCAGGACTTTAACTTTGTCTGGTAATAGTTGTACTTGTTGGCTTCTAGAAGAAGCCACCTAGAAGACCAGACAAGACCAGAGCCTGACAAGACCACCAGCTATCGCTCAGGAGAGGTTGCTATGGTGATCAACAAAATGGTCTTGGTCCCATAGTTATAGCAATGGAATAAAATAAAACAGTTATAAATAAGTCTATTGTTACAGTATAGATGTCGCTAATACTCCCTAGCTACAGAAACTGGGAGAGGGATAGGGCATCCTCCCCTCCCTAAGATTCCAGTCATTTTTTTTTCATTTTTAAAATGTGTTTATTTATTTGATAGCATATGCGTGAGTGCGTATACATATATGTGTGAGAGCCGTGATATGCAAGAGGCTTTCAGAGGACAACCCAAAGAAACCAACTTTCTCTCTCCACCCTGTGAGTCCTAGGGATCAAGCTCAGATACTCAGGCCTGGTAGCAGGCACCTTTACCAGCTCAATCATCCTCATAGAGCTATCTTTTCTTAATAAAAGAACCGTGTTGTGTGGAAAGACGCTGGGATAAGCACAAGGTCTCGTGCATGCTAAGCAAATATTCTAACAGAACATCTTCATGAACAGATGTGTCAGATGCCTGGGTATTGTCTCCTTCATCACTGTCTCTTGTTATTACAGAATGAATGGGATGGCCTAGAAGTAAAGGGATTGCAGGGATGCTATCACAGATCCATCATTTATGCTCCTAGATGGCATTTCCCTTTGGATATTGCTGAAGTTAACACGTAAAGGAAGGGCTGGAAAGAAGGCCTTGTTATATATCCAGTCATTTTTTCCTGCTGTCCTGAAAATGTGCTTGATCCTGTGGGATGCATGAGTCTACAAGAGGTAGAAGACTAATTAAAGAAGACACTATTTCAGCTTTGTGAAGTCATCATTCACCGTGTGTTTAGACTTTTGGATGATGCTGGCTTTTTACTACCTATAGGTCTTGTAAGTATTCTTAATAAGCTTATCAGTTCACGAAGCTGTACTTAAATGGAATACTCACATTCATTCACTGTCACTGTGCCCTATCGGGGGTAATTAGAGCTGAGTTTACATCTCCTTTGAAAAAATCAGGCAACATTCTTTGTTGTTATGAAAATATGTAAGTTCAAATAAAATGCATGGTTTTTTCTAGGCAAAGTGTTTCTGGCAAGGGCAGGTGCATGGGGTCTTTCTTCAAGCTATATTTCTCTTCATTTTTCAATATAGACCCTAAGGTGATAAATGTGTATGTGTGTGTGGAGAGGTGTTTGCACACAAGTTCTACCTGTGTATACAAGTGGACTCCAATGATCAAACATGAGTATTGCTCCTCGAGTAGCTCTGAGCGTTGAGCTCAGGCTCTCATGCATGCACACAGAACACTTTGCTCACTGAGCTGTCTCTCTGAAGTCTCTTCAGTTTTTAATGCTTTCCTAAACCAATAATGTTTTAATTCATAAGGTTAAATTATAATGCTATGAATTATTAATAAGATGCAGAATTCTCCATCACCACTCATATCTTTCACTTTGAACAAATGACCTAACTTTGTGTACCTTAGTTGTTGCTTCCCAAGTAGAAATGGTAATTTTTTTGTTAAGTGATCATGGAAGCCCCTGTAAATTCAACCATTTAATTTTTTTTGAAATGAGAGTTCCTATTAATAAATTGCTAAGGCTAATTTGTTTTCATTCTTACCCCCCATGAAAACATAATTGGAGAGTTAATCTGATTATCTAAAATAAGAACAACTATGCCAAATTGAATTTTGAGTATCTTTCATAGGGTTATTAAAGTGACTGAAACTAAAATGCAAGCATTAAATGTGCCAAATCTAATATATATATATATACACATATATAACTCATTAAAAGCAGATGTCTCTAAAAAGACCAAGCAGATATTTGGACAATTGATAAAGTAGAATAGACTAATGAATACCCTTTTTCAGACATATTCAACACTGGGGCATTTGCTGCCATGGGGCAAATAATCTTAACTGTGGAAGAATGCCAATAGATAGTGTCAAAGGGATTCCTCCCCATAAGAATCCCTTTCGTTTGCAGCAGTCTTCCTGTTTCTTCCAGACCGAGAAAAGGCTCATTTGCCTGGCTACTCCTCCAAGAGAAGAGGATAGAAAAAAGGAAGTACATGGCACAGAAAAGATCTCAGAGATTCTCAGAATTCAAGGTATTTCCAATATCAAAGTTAGTTGTCCGAGATTGGCAATCTGTTTGCTTCTTCAGTACACAGACAGCAAAACAAAGCAACATAAAGAACCAAGAGAATGTGACATCAGACAGAAGTAAATCTCAAGTCATCAACCCTAGGGAAATGACAACGAAGTTAGAACAATAATCTTGAAGAAGTTTAATAACTTGTAAGAGAATGTTGACAGTCAAAACCAAGAAACTTATCTGTCAGCAAAATGAGGAATAAGCAGAAATAACTGAAGAAAAATATTGAGCTTCATCCATTTGCCACTTTATACTTCACTCTGTCCTTGGATAAAAGCTCCCACACTACAGTGCAAGCCACTTCTACAGGAAGGGCTATGTCTCCCAGTTTCAACAAAGCTGGGCATCTAATGACTGCGATTGGGAAAAATAATTAAATGTTTGCATTGCAAAAGTCAGGAAGGTGCAACATGCAGTAAACAAGACCTTTAAAATGAATGACTTCAACTGTCTGCTAAGTCTGCTTTATCTTTCTGTGGAGCTTCACCTCTGGTCTCCTGTTCCTCAGGCACCACCACCACCTCCATGCCACCCCAGACCTGTGCTCTTAAAGCAGCATTGCTCTCCCTGGATCATGCCAGCTCATTCACTGTGCAGTGGCACTCAGAGATAGGTGTGATACGGCTCCGTTTTACAGATAAAGGAAGCTGAGATCGAGGCGATGAAGCAGTTTGTCAGAGTCTAATGATTTTTTTAAAGGAATGCATGTTGATTCTCATGAGAGGCCTGCCCCTTGCTGAATGGGATAGGAGTGGATGTGGGTGGGGGATAGACAGGATGTAGGGGGAGGGGGTGGGAAGAGCAGAGGGAGGGAAAACTGTGATTGGTATGCAAAATAAATGAAAAAACATAATTAAAGACAGAAAGGAATTTAAGGTATGAGACTGTTGAAGATGACCCACAATTTGGAATATGGGTATTTAAAATGACACTTCCCATCTGTTTCAAGGAAATTCTGTTTATCATGCCCTTAAAAGTGAAAAACCCATTTCTAAATAATTTCATTTGAAAACCTTTCCTTTTCCGATTCTCAAATGCCATTATCAGTGTTAAAGGGAGAGCACTCACCTCTGGGAAGATGAGCTTGCAAATGCTTTCTGCCAGAGTGTGTAGGTAGACTCTGTTGCGACTTGTCTTTCTCTGGGGAAGGTTCCCTTGTGCATTCTTCTCAGGAGTGTCCTGGCAGATGGGCAGGGTGGCCTGGCAGCCCTCAGAACCTCCTGCCACCTCCTCTGCTGGCTCTTTAGGAACCTGACCAGGGGCCAGTAAGGAGAAAGGGCACTCCCCGGTGATCTTGAGATCCTTGAACTTCCTGCAGAACATGGTGTTCCCTGGGTTCTGCTGGGGTTTCCTGCTGACCAGTTGGTGTTGATATGGACTGATGAAGATCTATCTGTTCCTCTTACTGACTCAAGGACACTGGTGCATAAAAAGAAAGAGTGTACAATCATGGGAGGAGAAATTGCCAACAGAGTATTAATCGAAGATAAGCACGTTAGGAAAGAACTTTAACATGTGCACAGTTGCCTACAGTATATTTAAAATCTTTAAAACAAAATCTCATTTTCTCTAAATGTCCTTAGCTCAAACTAGATTTCCACCTTTACAATCCATTTGATGCTGTTTGATTTCACAAGGATGAAACACCATGGTCTTTGCTTCATTAATGCAAAGTATATTTCATTGTGTCTAAACATCAGAATAGCACATGCTAATGTTTCCCCTAAATACTTCACTATATGTATTATTCCACATACATGGAGAAACTATCTGGGTGAGGTAAAACTGAAACTTGGGTTAGTTAGCTGGTGTTGGGTCAAAACTTCTGGAATCTGACCCCAAAAAATTATTTCTTACACTGGAAAAAAGGTTTTCTTTGTTGTGACAATTATCATAACAAAGTTTAGGCATGGTGACATTAAATACTCCTCTGCAAAATGTATCCTTTAGCAGAGCACCTGGGACCTTTAACATAAGAATGGGTCCTATGGACTGAGCAGCAGTGCTCAGGACAAGGACCCAGGGAGGATGGACTTGTAATTAGCATGAGGATTGGTTCTATTGACTGAGAATGAATGCTCGGGATCTGGGGGGATTCATTGAGGACTGGCTTTCAGAATAGAAAAGATCACCAGGTATTAATCCAACTATCCCCAGCCTTTTGGGAGGAAGACAGTGTCAATTTCTTCCTTTGAACAATTCAGGATTTTCTACTATTATCTGTAATAGACCTCACATCCTTCTACAGACTTTGGATTAAAAAAAAAAGGAAAGTGATCACTAAAAGAAGTTTGTCACTATAAATGGTAAAAAAAAAACTGTAAAATATCATCATAAAAGGCTTTTACCCCATAAGTTACTAAGTTCAAAGAATACATCACGTTATTTGCAGGGATCTCTGGCTACAGCTGTACAGGTGACTCTTAGGTAAACCAAGGAAGCTGCCATTCAGCATGTTTTCCTATGTTTCTTTGTTGATGACATCATTTCAAGTCCTCACACAAGCCAACAAATAACAAGTGAGTTATTTGTCACTGGAGGGTCTATGAACATTTAAAGGTGCCTCGACCTCCAGCACCTTCCAGATACAGGGATTGCTGCCCCAAATGACCAGGAACTCAAGGTCATTTTCCTTTACTTGAATTGCTAGGTCCATTTCACTTGGAAATCTGTCTCTCAAATTAGCAGGTTTTCTATTACTACAAACTCACTCTCATGGGCCGAGTTCATAAACTAAGGTTAGCTCATTTTGGCAAAAGGTTCTACAGATTTACATTAAAAAATCAGTCAGGCTCTAAATGCCTTTGCTTGTTATCTGGGGCATCTGGTGTACAACCTTTTGTCTCCATATAAGGAATAGCTACATGGATTCAGAAGGACCTAAGCATGAAAGACTTTCACCAGCTTAAAAACCAACAACAACAACAAAAAATCTCTCAGGTCTCAGTCTTTATTTCATTACAACATAAGGCAACCATTATTATCTATTGTCTTCCTTTGCATTATTAGCTTCCATTCTTGTTTACGACTGAAATGTATGATCAGAAAGTCCTTTCTACAAAGGGCTAGAGATCCTTTCAGCTTTGCAGAATATGTAGCGTCAGTTCTACTTTTGCACCACGAAGAGAGACGTAGACAAATGGGCATGAATGTATTCCAATGAAGCATTCGCAGGTCAAGCTGGGAATCTGGGAATCAAGGAATACGGCCCACAGGCTGTGGCTTGCTGACTCCTGGCTCTAAAATGCTCAGGAAATCAATGGCGCCATTTGAATCCAAATGTAAGGATAGTGTTGCCTTCTCATCTTCTCTAACCACTTCTCTCTTTAAATGACGTGGATCCCACGTGGGTATGAGTGTTTGCAAGGATAATCCAGGCAGCACACTTGCTGGGCAAGCATGCTGCCCTTGAGCTACATCCCAGCACAGGCATCAGCGTGGGTGGTAGATGTGTGTAGTTCTAGGGAAGAACATGCTCTGGATGAGCACTCTCCTCCTTAGCTACCTTGCGGTCTTGGATCTAGTTCAGTGTAACTTGAAAATATGTAGATTAGAAAATAATTTAGTCTGGTGGTGGTGGACCACACCTTTAATCCCAGCATTTAGAAGGCAGAGATAGATGGATCTCTGTGAGTTCAGGGCCGGCCTGGTCTACAGAATGAGTTCCAGGACAGGCTCCAAAGCTACACAGAAAAACCCTGTCTCAACCCCTGCCCCAAGAAAAAAACAGCAAAAAAGAAGATGATTTAAAATACACATTTGTTTCTAGAATAATAATGATGATAGTCTCCTATATTATTATTCAAGTAAACTATCCGTAACTGCAACGCCACATTTTCAGTTCTCTCTAAGAGTGAACATAAAAACAAGAAAAGGGTACTCAAAAGTGAAAGGAAAGCAATAATAAATGCATTATGGGCTTAATCTGCCAGAAATAAAGTGCTGCTTCTTACAATAAGTTATCTAATACATATTAGTATTTTAGCTTTGGCCTTGGAAGCTTGGCAGAATAGTTTATGATAAATCCTTCTATTATGCTTAATCTTTCTTCCACACTGGATTTGAACCCTGGTCCCCATACCCAACGCTACCCCTCCTACTCAGCCTGCCTACAAATTATATGTAACCTCTCAACTACCCTTGGAATTCTCCCCTCTCTTGAATTGCACAATGCTCCCATTTCCAGAAAATGTGCTTGGCAGGGTTTTTTTTTATTAACTTAAAAACAGCAATGAGAAATAAGTTGCACTTATTGAAGGTTGGCTCAGTGTTTAGTCTCATTAAATCACACATGTATAAACAAAGTAATTAGCATTCTTCATCTGTGACTGATGAAATTACACCAGGAAACAGATGTACAAGGATCAGTACTCTTGAAACCTCTGTGTGCCTTGGGTTTGCCAGGAACACAGGAGACATTCTTCCACTAAGCTGGAGATTATTTTTATATATAATGTCAGCACCCACTTCAGAAACAGTGTGGTCACTTGATGAGGTCAGTATAGAGCTGGCTGGGAAGAGGGCAGATATGCTAAGGGAAGCGCAAATTAAAAAAATAGGTTTAGTGACAAGGGCTTGGCAAACACCGAAATGGCATTCTCTCAGACTTGGAGAGTTTCTTAAAAGCTGATGATTAGACAGCTTCCACACACACACACACCCAAAAAAATTACTAAATGTCTCTTCTATTTCTTAGTGATGATAATGATCCCTCCCTGGGCTTATGTTAATGTCTGGGGTATTTCATTGTTCAGGTAAGGGCCACTCTTCATGGTAAACTCTAACGTTTGGTTAACCATGAAAACTTTGTTTCCTGCAATCAACAGTATCAAGGAGACCTGAGGAGAAAGCTTCTTGGTCACGCCTAACAACAAGTGCCTCTTTTGTAGTAGTAATTGAAAAGCAAATTTCAGACTTAGGAGTGGCTCTGAGGAAAGTGCCGCTGAGGAACTCAGCCTCCACCTGAAGAGCAAGCATCAGCCATGTCCAATGTTGACGACCACCGATAAGGCCCAGATGTGACTGTGTCTCCAGCAGAATACCCGTTTTAACATTGGACCACAAAGTTAAGGGCTTTAAGACAAGCCAAACAAGAGGGCATCAAAAATCAAATTTCAATAACAAGATACAGTTTGCACAATTCAGTATAAGCTATAACCTTTTCTTAAGTAAAAGGAAGGACAACAGGGAATAATCAGGAAAGACTAAAAGTGTTTCAACTTTCAAAACTAGACAAACACCAAGGGTTTGCCTTAGGCAGTGAGCCAGTCTTCACTCTGCAGTAGGGAATGCTTGGAGAACTTCCTCTGTGAACAAAGCAAGACAAGTAGAAAAATTGGGGAGCACGTCCAAGTTTCCCCAGTACCGTTATTTTTTTAAGGTTACACACCTTAGACTTCTGAGCTGAATTCCTCTCAGAGCAACCACTGTCTCTCTCTACACATTTCCTGAAAGGTCAGGGCTGTGGCTGAGTTCACTTTTGCTCACCACATGTATTTCCCAGGCTACAACTTTCTGGCTTTGTTGCTGTTGTTGATTGATTTATTTATTTTTGTTTTTACATACCAATCAAAGTGTCCCAGCCTTCCCCTTTTCCCGGTTTCTGCCACCTTCCCCATTCACCCACCCCAGCCAATCCGCTCTTCTCTTCAGATACGGGAAGGTGTCCCATGGATGTCCAGCAGACATGGTATATCAAGCTGCAGTGTGACTAGGCACTTCTTCTTCTATTAAGGAGGCATGAGGCAATTTGGTAGAAAGAAAGGGTCCCAAAAGCAGGCAACAGTCAGAGACATCGCTTGCTCTGTTATAACCTGAAGGGACCAGACCCTGACCCAGCCCCCTGCTTTAGCAGCCATGACAGGCTGCAGAAAAGACCCAGCAGGATGTACTAAGCTTCCTGACCTAACTCATCCTCCCAGTCACTAGGAGGTCAGATACCCTTCACACGACAAGGAGCCAATCAGAAGTTAGCTGGTGGGCTCTGGACATACTTTATGGTTCTTTACAATAAAAGTGGCCTAACAGTGACAATGCAGAGCATAGCAACCGCCCTGGGAGGGCCTATAGACCATAACAACCAGTTGACCAGTCGGTTGCCCAAGCCTAGAAGTACACCAATCCTGAGATTGTTACATACCCATAGTCTCTCTCCTTCCACACCCCCAATAAATTTCCCACCTCACGGCCCCTTCGGATCCTTCTCACACAGGGACAGGAACCAAGTTAAGACAGTTAACTCATTAAACAATAAAAGACTCTTTGTTTTTGCACTGGAATGGGTCTCTTGGTGATTTTGGGGCTCAGAATTTGGGCACAGCATTACCCAGCCACTGATGGAAACAGATGCAGAGACCCACAGTCTAACATTAGGTTGAGCTTGAGGAGTCCTGCTGGAAGAGGGGGAAGGACTGTAGGAC